CCAAAAAAAAAAAAAAAAAAAAAAAAAAAAAAAAGATGTTTAGTACAAAAAATATTCTAGGAGAATGCTTCTGTATCCACTTTTAATCTTCACTGTCTCTCAGCTAGGAGCTCAAGATTTGTTATTTTGGATAAATAAATTTGTAAAGAGATAAATTTTCAGATTGAAATTAAAAATAAACTGTAAATTAAAAGATAATTTATTTTTATCTTCTCAGTATAACAATGAATCAGGATAAGGCTAGAGCACTGGAGAAAACAAAGGTATAATAATTTCCTGTTGTTATTAAAGAAATTTACAAGAAAGTCAGTTGAAAAATGACTGTTTTTGGGGTGGGATTGGCAGTTGAGGGAAACTGCGGGGTGGGGGGGAGATTATACCTCATCAACAAGAGTACCTGCATAATGAACATTTGTATACCTAACCCTGAATTGTACCCCACATCTTTAAAGAAAAAGAGAGAGACAGAGAGAGAGAGAGAAAAAAAAATGACTGCATTTGAAATGAAACATACACAAGAAAAAAAATGAAGTCACTGGTCAGTGTATTGAATTATCTTCTTATTGTCTGTATGAAATTCATCCCTGGACATTTTAAACTACTTTTAGAAAATCCACAGCAATTTTTAAATCCCCCCAAATTGCTAGAAGTTAATTTTGGATAAGGAAGTAAAATTGATTAGAAATAGAAATATTTTCACACTACTAAGATACAGCCTGCTTGCCAATGTAACAAATATAAAAACATTCCCTCTAGAATGGTAAAAGAACATCTCAAGAAGACAGTTCTTAAAAAAGTAACATTTGAACATCATGAAAAATATAAAAGAGTTGGGAACATGTTTATATTAAACTTCAAATTTCTCACTTCTTATTAACTCTTTTAAAAACACTTGCAGTTTTGTTAACATTTTTGCTGCAGGATTTAATTTCCTTTAAATATGCGAAATTCCATGTAAAATTAACTATTTTTATCTTTCAGGGAGCACATTCAATAGCTAAATCAACTAGAAAATTAGATTTGATATGCCTATATTGACCTGCTGGGCTCCAGCGATCCTTCCGCCTCAGCCTTCCAAGTAGCTGGAACTACAGGTGCGCGCTACCACTCCCGGCTCATTTTTAAAAATTTATTGTAGAGATGAGGCCTCGCCAAGTTGTCCAGGCGGGTTTCAAACCCGTGGGCTCAGGCAATTCACTCACCTCGGCCTCCCAAAGTGTGGGATTACAGGCTGAGCCACCGAGCCCGGCCCATATATTTGTTTTAAGGCCAACTTTCTTTTGGCCACATTTCTGTGCCATGAAAGTGACATCCCGCTGTACAAAGAAATTAAACTTACAGTAGACTGTTGTATATCTAAGAGTTATTCCGAATCCCATAGTTTTCAACAAGTACTAGATCTACTAGAGGTTTTAGATTTCAAGAAATCTAGAAGATTTGAAAAAAATCCATTTTAGGTTTACAAATTAACACTGGTTTAGATAAATTTTCTACCCTTTTGAGATCTGAATAACACATCCAATACATCTTGGATTACAAAAAGCGTACTGCACCACTGCAACAAAAAGGGAAAAACATAAGGATAAAGATGATGGGATAATAATGACTGAAAAGTAAGATTTTTAGGTGTGATTTTAGAACTGTTTCTATTATTATGGCAACATAATTTCTACAACATGAAGCTCTGACCACAGAATATTTACTAAGATGGTTGTTTTGATAATCTTATTTCCATGTCCATAAACCTGAAGGGAAAAAAATTAAGAAAATGTCTGCCTCAGGATACTATTTGGCATTGACAAGGCATTAAATAGAAATGTGCATATTTCCTGCAGGCGAAACCAAGTTCTTACATTTTCCATATTACACAATACTAAGAAAAATACTTTGAACCCCAGAATAAAAGAAGTTCACAGGAAACATGTATGCTACCAAGACATTTACTTGTTCACAGGAAGTTGACCTAGAACTTAAATTGGACAGCACTTCACAAGATCTCAGATATGGTAGCCTAAAAAATGTTTTGTGAGGTAAAGAGAGATAGGCCTTCATCACCTTCATTAATAAGGGTGAAATTATAGCAGGTTTCTAATTTCCCTCCCATGAATTAGAAATACTAGATATAAGCCAGGCTCGGTGGCTCAGCCTGTAATCCCAGCGCTTTGGAAGGCTGAGGTGAGTGGATTGCCTGAGCCCGCGGGTTTGAGACCTGCCTGGGCAACTTGGCGAGACCTCATCTCTACAATAAATCAAAAATTAACTGGGTGTGGTAGCGTGCACCTGTAGTTCCTGCTACTTGGAAGGCTGAGGCGGAAGGACCGCTAGAGCCCAGCAGGTCGAGGCTACAGTGGCTAGGAGCGGCCACTGCACTCCAGTCTGGGTAACAGAATGAGACTCCAACTCAAAAAAAAAAAAAAAAGAAAGAAATACTAGATATAAATGCAGAAGAACATTCTGATCTAATGAATGAAAAGTAAGAACCAGAGTAACCATAATGATTTACAATAAGAATGATATAAATTGGGTCAAGTCTCCTAGTGAAGATAAGAAAGTCCCTAGTAAATAAAGGAGCTGATGCCCACATCAGCTCAGAGTGTGATGTCCACACTCTGTTTTATATATAACTTCTGTAACCCACTCACACTGCTTGTGAACACCTATTAAGTCCCACTGGTGACGTTTGTGATATGAGGAGGAAAACAGAACATAAAAAGAGCTATCACATAGAGCTTACATACAAATCGCTCAATTTAAAAAAGGCTTAAACCAGTATGGTGGCTCAAGCCTGTAATTCCAGCACTTTGGGAGGCTGAGGCAAGAGGACTGCCTGAGCCTAGGGGTTTGAGACCAGCCTGGGCAACTTGGTGAGACCTCAGTCTCTACAGTAAATAAAAAAAATTAGCCGGGCATGGTAGTACACACCTATAGTTCCAGCTACTTGGAAGGCTGAGGCGGAAGGATTGCCTGAGCCCAGCAGGTCAAGGCTGCGGTGACCATGAACATGCCACTGCACTCCAGCCTGGGCGACAGGGTGAGACTCCAACTCAAAAAATCAACAACAAAAACAAAATAAAACAAAAAAAGGCTTAATGAGTTGGCTTTTTTATTACTCATCTCAGATTAAACAATTACTGATGGGAATAATTGATATAGTCACATTAGAAGGAAGGATTATTATTGTGGGTTTTCTCCAATTCGTCAGAATGCAAAGCTATAAACTTTTATAAAGGTGATTTTTCTACTGAGATGATTTTTATGATTTCTATACACTTTGTTTCTCCAGTGCCTTGCACATGGCCTGGCACACAACAGGCCCTCAGATAAATGTTTTGTAACAGACTTGAGGAGTCAAGACTGTCTTGCGTGAGTCTGGCACAAAGTAGAGAGGACTTAAAAAGACAGAGTCAGGCCGAGCTTGGTGGCTCAGCCTGTAATCCCAGCGCTTTGGAAGGCCAAGTGAGTGGATTGCCTGAGCCTGCGGGTCTTGAACAACTTGGAGAGACCTCATCTCTACAATAAATCAAAAAATTAGCTGGGCATGGTAGCGCGCATCTGTAGTTCCAGCTACTTGGAAGGATCGCCAGAGCCCAGGAGGTCAAGGCTGCGGTGGCCGGGAGCATGCCACTGCACTCCAGTCTGGGCGACAGAGTGAGACTCCAACTCAAAAAAAAGAAAAAAAGATAGGGTCAAAAGAAAAATCCTTGTATTGAGTAAGTAAATTCCTTCTGAACACTCCTAGTAGATAGTAAGAACTTCAGTAACCCCTACAAGGGGCAATTGAGATAAAACATTTTTTGTGTAAATATATTCCAAGAAACTATATTGAAAGGTTTTTTGTGTGTGTTTTTTTTTTAACAAGTCATCATTTCCTTTCTAGGTGCATCACTGAATTTCTAAATTTTTAACAAATTTTGAATTTTTTAAAAAATGAAAGCAGAACAGGGCAACAGGAGGCGTTTTCTTACCCGTTGGCAGCGCCATCTGTGGTTGAAATACTTCTGGATTAAATATTGTATGACTCAAAGGATCCAAATGAAACATCTGTAAAGAAGAAAATTTAAATCTTTCAATCATTATTTTTCCAACATGATATAAAAAATTTTACACTGGAACACCTAAAACTTAACAGGAGTGAGAACTAAAGCCAAAACCAAAAAGTTAAGAATATTTAAAATCTGGATTTAAAAATATTTTCATGGCACCTAGTTAATTTCTCATGTGTACAAAACTTTACATGGGGTTGGATTATGTTTATGTAACAAATAAATTTGAGCATAACCTAGTTATAAAGTTCCCAGAGCCAAGGACCTAGTTAAGCTTAGTGGTTTTTTTTTTGTTTTTTTTTTGAGTTGGAGTCTCACTCTGTCACCCAGACTGGAGTGCAGTGGCCACTCCCAGCCACTGCAGCCTCGACCTGCTGGGCTCCAGCGATCCTTCTGCCTCAGCCTTTCAAGTAGCTGGAACTACAGATGAGCACTACCACACCCGGGTAATTTTTTGATTTATTGTAGAGACAAGGTCTCACCAAGTTGCCCAGGCTGGTCTTGAACCCCTGAGCTCAGGCAATCCACTCACCTCAGCCTCCCAAAGCACGGGATTATAGGCTGAGCCACCAAGCCCGGCTAAACTTGCTTACCAGTGTATCTTCAGGGCCAAGTGTATGTTTATCACAGAGCAGACACTTACTAAATATTTGCTGCATGAATTATTTGAAGTTTATACTCTCCTAGAAATATAAACATAAGAATATAATCCTGGAAACCTATATCTTTTATGATGGCAATCTAGATACCCACTCTAGATCCCCAATCTAGATACCCAATATCAAGGAATTACAGACAGCAGTTCTAGAACTATTTACAGAATAATTGAAAAGAGAATTTATAGGCCAAAGAGTAAATAGCTAAGCACTAACAGAGCTCACTCATTTTTTTTAATCACCTTTACTTTCTGAGTGTAATACAAAAGACCTGGAATTTAGTCAGTATGTTAGGTCTCCCAAAGATGTCCTTGTCCTAATCCTCCGAACCTGTGGAATTTTAACTTATATAGCAAAGGAGTTTTACATATGTATTAAGGTAAAGATATTAAAATGAGGAGATTGTCCTGAATTGTCCAGGTGGGCCTGATGAGAATCATTCAGGAAATCAAAGTGAGTAGTAGGAGGCTCAACAATTGAAGAAGTTGGAGTGATGGGAGAGTGCACAAACCTAGGAATGCAAACAGCTACTAGAAGATCAAAGAGGCCGAGCACTCATGCCTGTGATCCCAGCACTTTGGGAGGCCATGGTGGGAGGATTGTTTGAGTCCAGGAGTTCAAGGCTGCAGTGAGCTATGATCACTACTGTAGTCACTCCAACTTGAGAGAGACCCTGTCTCAATGAGGAAAAAAAAAAAGAGCAAAGAAATGAGAACTTCCAGAAAGAATACAGCCTTGCGAACACTTGATTTTAGACTTCTGACTTCCATACTTAGAATTATAAATGTGTGTCTGTGTGCTTTTTGTTTTTGTTTTTGTTTGAGTTGGAGTCTCACTCTGTCACCCAGGCTGGAGTGCAGTGGAACGGCCATGGTCACAGCAGCCTAAACCTGCTGGGTTTAGGCAATCCTTCTGCCTCAGTCTTCCAAGTAGCTGGAACTACAGATGCATGCCACTGTGCCTAGCTACGTGTGTTGTTTTAAGTCACACATTTGTGGTAATTTGTTACAGAGCAATTGAAAAGTAACACAGTGGGCATGCAATATATTCTAATGAAGTTACATTCTATCTCGATAAATTACTATTAATTACTTATCCCAAGAAAAAAAATTTCCTATTTGCTTCATTTAGGACTTTAAATTCATATTTCTGAGTTTGCTATATGGTTTAGCCTAAATAAATCATGTGTTTGCAGTGTCTGTGAACAACATAGAAACTGTCTATTTTACTTTTTATGATAGACTAATTAGTAAGTCTGCTAGAACCAGAATTTTTTTTTTTAAATAGTATTACAACTTGTCTCTTGTCCTTATTAGTTAGTTATTGGAGGTTAGTATGACTGGTTAAATCAAGAGAAACAAAAATGATATTTAAATGAAGAACACTTAACATTTAAATGAAGATCCAGTTGTGAGGAATGCAATTTTTTAATTGAGTAACAAAAAATGTACTCCATGTGCTGAAAAGTAAATACAGAAATGAAAAAAATGTGTTCTGCAAAAATGGGCCCCACCTTACACAGGGTTTTTACCAGCCTCAGAGCAAAAAAAGATAACCTAGCAGGAAAAATTTTCTTTCCTATGGTCCTGCAGGTGGCTAAAATGACTGGATAGTAAGCAAAAGCACCCATCTTAGGAGAGAGCTACACACTCCACTTCAGACAAAGAAGAAAGACATTATATTGTACTGCAGTTTGCACTGTTTATTAGGCCAGGGGTGGAGAGCAAATTCCAGAAAGCACTAAAGCACTGATGATATCTCACTGAGGACATGTGACCTTTAGGAAATATAAACCATTAAGCTCTAGTCAAGACAAAGAAAGACTTCAAGGACCTGTCAAAAATGGAAATATCAGAACATGCCCCACCCCTGCTGCTGATGATCACAAAATGCCCACATAAGAAAACTTTCAAAATGAATGTTTTCAGCAGGTTTTACTCGTGTGTAGCATAAAGAACCATCGCTTGTTGATAAGATTTCCTGTGTATACACAGGAAAGCATGGTTTAAAATCATGCAGAGACAATCCTCATGCTGGTTAGTTTGTCTTTAATTGTTAGAGACAGCACATTAAAAGTGAAAGGTAAAACAAAGGTTTTGATAATTATGAGTAGCTAAATGTCTTTCACACTGCACTCAAAGAAAATGTTCCTAGATTTATCCTAAATCACCACTTTTTACCATAAAATTAGGAAGGAGCATCTTAATATTAAAAGCAATGCATATTCACTCTTTCTAGAGAAATCAGAACATTACCAAGAGTAATGAATGATATATAAGACTATTTTATTTCTAGAAACAATACAAGATCCCTTTAAAAGTATTTCACTTTTGGTTTTATTTTTCTGACAGAATCTTTGCATGTGTAAATTTGGAAAACTCATTGTTTTAATGGTTGTAACTAAAATGTAAGCATGAAATGAAAAATGAATCGTGTACCAAGGTATCCAGATACCTAGTGTTCCCGCTCCCTGTCTAGCCTAGCAAACTATGTCTATCAAATTTCAGCTTACATAGACTTCCTTTGGAAAGTCCTCCACAACTCTGCTCTTTCTCTGAGGTAGCACCTAGTGATACTACTCAACATTTCTGTTCATGCACACTACTACCACAGTGTTTCTCACCATATGGAAACTATGTCTCTGTCCCTCCTAGTAGAATGGCAGCTCCCTAAAATTAGAGTCTAAGCATCACTCATTTTGTACCCATACAAAGCCAGTGTTCTGATATGAAGTAATGTACCATGCCTTGATAATTAGCTGACATATGAATAAACCTCAGCGTTTTAATTTTTGCTTTTTGTCATTTTATTTCAATAGCTTTAGGGGTACAAATAGTTTTTGGTATTAAGTACTTAGAATCATAACATTAAAAATTTAATATTGCCATTGCAATTACTCCTGAGTCTGAAAATTGCTTTCGAATGGTTTGAGAGAGAGAGAGAAGCAAAATGTCAATAACCAACATAGATTTGTTAGACTATCCAATATTTATATAGGCTTGAAAAATTTTTAAATTAAAAATCTAGGAGAAAAAGAAAAAAAAAAGGACACTGGTATCCTTTCATAACTGCTAACATAATGATAATGAACAGTTTTATGTTTCCAAAGTATATTCATTGAGTATATTCAACTCACATCTGTGAGTATGGTACTAGGATTTATATTTTCCAAATGAGGAAAGTGAGAATTAAGGGGTTAAAAGATTCTCAAGTTTGAAGAGCTAATCAGTAGCAGTCAGCACTTATATAAAGATCTTCAAATTCTAATACAAAGATCTTTTCACCACACCAATCTGCCTCATCATTTGACCAGTTTTGTCAACTTCTCAATTTTGTTACATGTGTAGACTGCATAGTGGTTAAGTCAGGACTCTAGGGCATCCATCATCTGAATAATGTACATTGTACACATTAAGTAATTTCTTGACCTGGCACAGTGGTTCACGCCTATAATCTCAACACTTTGGGAGGCCAAGGTGAGAGGACTGTCTGAGTCATGGGTTCGAGACCAGCCTGGGCAACATGGCGAGAACTTATCTCTACAATAAATCTAGAAAAATTAGCCAGGCATGGTGGCATGTACCTGTGGTTCCAGCTACTTGGAAGGCTGAGGTGGAAGTATCACCTGAGCCCAGCAGGTCAAGGCTATGGTGGCTGTGAGTATGCCACTGTACTCCAGCCTGGGTGACAGAGTGAGACTTCGACTCAAAAAAAAAAAAAATTTCTCATCATCCACCTCCTCCACCCCATCACCTTTCCAAGTTTCTATTCCACTCTCTGTGTCTATGTGTACACATTAAATAAATAGTTTAAGGGGCTTTAATGGGCTAAACTGTGTTCCCCCCCAAAAGATACCTTTAAGTCCTAATCCCCAGTACCTGTGATTATAACCCTATTTAGAAATAGGGTCCTTACAGAGGTAAGCAAGTTAAGATGAAGTCATAGAGGATTAGGGTGCACCCTAAATCCAATGACTGATGCCTTTATGAAAACAAAACAAAACACAACAGCAACAACAACAATAAAAACCCACAAGGAGGTTTAGGTACAGAGATACACAGGGAAGAAGGATATTTGACCATGGAGGCAGAGATTGGAGGGATGCAGTTATAAGTCAAGGAATGCCAAGGAGTGCCAGAAACCAACCAGAAGCTAAGAGAGAGGCACACAGTACATTCTCTTTCAGAGCCTCCAGAAGGAACCAATCCCATCAACACCTTGATTTTAGACTTCTAGTCTCCAGAACTGTGAGATAATATATTTTGTTGTTTTAAGCCACCAGGTTTGTGATAATTTATTACAGCAGTCCTAGGAAACTAATACAGTGGCTATAATTTGACTTATAGCATATACAATCTTAATGCTGTGTAATACAACAATATGTGTGATAGCAGACTTTAAGTTACTTATTTGGCAGGACATGTCCTCTCCAACATCTTATGGAGGGACAGAGAAACTGAAAAGCTAAAAAAAAATTATTTTACTAATTTTAGAGTTTTCCTGATATTGAATTACTAATGTTGCCTTTGTATATTTTGAAAGATGAATACTTTTATTTTTTATTTATTATTATTATTATTTTTTTTTAAATTTATTTTTATTTTTATTTTTTTTTGAGTTGGAGTCTCACTCTGTTGCCCAGACTGGAGTGCAGTGGCCGCTCCCAGCCACCGCAGCCTCGACCTGCTGGGCTCCCACGATCCTTCCGCCTCAGCCTTCCAAGTAGCTGGAACTACAGGCGCGCGCTACCACGCCCGGCTCATTTTTGATTTATTGTAGAGATGAGGTCTCACCAAGTTGCCGAGGCGGGTCTCAAACCCACGGGCTCAGGCAATCCACTCACCTCAGCCTCCCAAGGCGCGGGATTACAGTCAGAGCCACCAAGCCCGGCTAGGATGAATACTTTTAAATAAAATTATCAGTGAGATTATAACACTTACTTGTTCAGGCCTTCCCAGATATGAATCATCTTCTGCCATTCTGGAGCTATATATTAAAACAAAACAAAACAAAAGTGTAACACAAGAATGAACCTTAATAATTCTGTCACCATGGAATTCATGCAGGAGTAAACCATATCATTCCAGCAAGACCAAATATAATCTTTTTGTGAACACTGTAGGAGGAGAACATGGTATAGTTCCTCTTTGGTATCTAAATCTAACAGCAGGGAGATTGCATAATCAAGTAATTACCACTTATGTATAATCTCAAACCCTCATGTTAAGGTCATAACAGAGTCCTTATGATCTTTATCCTTTGTATTAAAAAATCATGCATGCTGAGATTCTTAGGGGTCGTTTCTTTTTGTCACCCTCTAAACTTCAAGAATTTACAGTCTTAGCTCCTTAAGCATATTATTTTTCCAACCCTTCATGAACTTTGCAATGGTCCTAGAGCTGTCTCCAAGTTTTCTATAAGCTTGAGAAGCTCAAAAGGGCCTCATCAGTGCTTTGCACAACAAAAGGGGAAGACTGTTACAGCTACCATGTTCTGTTCTCTGGAGCATTCCATGGAAGCAAGCCATCTTCCTGCCATTGTCAAAGTTGTATAGAAACTCTCTATGTTAAAAGCGCAATATAGGCCAGGCTGGGTGGCTCAGCCTATACTCCCAGCACTTTAGGAGGCCAAGGTGAGTGGATTGCCTGAGCCTGCAGGTTCGAGACCCGCCTGGGTAACTTGGCAAGACCTCATCTCTACAATAAATCAAAAATTAGCCAGGCATG